GAAGGAGCGACGCTTCATTTTATACCGCATTTCCGATAATGAGCATATTGTCATGGATAATGTAACTGGAGAAGACATACCTATCTTTTCAGACCTGCTCGAGGATCCCACCTTCCTGCTTCCCCGCTGGTATGCTCAACAGCGCTGTATCGCGCTCGGCTGGAATGAGAAGATGGCTATGAAACCAGCACGGTATCAAGTCGCGCTTCACGACTCACAAGCCTGCGGTGTCCGTGTGTTGCTTGAGGAACAGTATTGGGACGGGAGTCCTGAGACTGCAGACGTTATGCAGTTCGACGTCAAGTCAGCGGAGGATGACTCACTGTGTATCCTCAACTCTGAAGTTGAGTTTGTTGCACGCCTTCCGCGTGTGCTTCTGCGGAACGAGTCATTCGATCTGATTCGCTGGTACGAAAACGAACTTTCAGCTCATTTATACAATGAGGACATAACTCGAAGCTTCGAATGGGTTTCTGATGACGGACCGATTCCACAGTGTTCCCCACTGGATCTCGAGTTCCTCGACTTGCCTCCATTAGAAGCGGCATCCGATTGGAGTTCGGATGCAGGATCAGACGCTGATGATTTCGGCGATGTACCATCACGGGTGGCCTCGGATGGAAGCGCGCAAATACAAGATCTGTTCGAAAGGTTATCTTCGTGAGCTGGAAGCAAGGAGAAACTCACTGCAAACAGAATTCGGGCTGCGTAGGCGTGACGCGTGAACCATACTACCCTGTCGGCGATTTGCTTGGGCAAAGTGTTGCTGATTTCCTGGAGGATCATCAGCCGTACTATGGTGATGAGTCTATTTGGGGCAGACAGTTGGGACGACGTCAATTCCGTGTTTTGCGTGTCTGCCGTGATACATTCACTGTGGAAGATGATTTGAGTGGGTTAGTTGCAGCATTGCCGGTCTGGATGTTGCGGCTTCCCGACTTCGATCTCGCCCAGTGGTATTCGTTTCGATGCGCCAACGAGGCTGGCATCGACGATCCCGCCGATCGCCCAGATAACGAACCCACTATTGGTGAAATATTTGCGTTGGCAATCGAGAAGTACTTTACCGAATTGAGCGAATCAGCTCCCGAGGCAGCTGGAATTACGGTTGAACGCCTACCCGTAGAGTGTCAAAGCTACGAAGAGCCTGACACATTCATCATTCACATACCGGGTGACGAATACTCGCTCTACGAGCCGATTGATGAGCTACAGCTCTGCAATCCATACCTCGATTTGCTCAGCTGGACTCAAAAGCGAAAGCTACAGACCCACCTAGTTGAGAACAATATCTTCAACGGATTCTACTGCACAGATGATGAAGAATATCTTGCTGCGTTGTTCGGCGGAAGATGATGACACGCCATTTGTGTTGTACTGCGGAAAGGCTCAAATTCCCGCAGATGGATATAAGGGACTTACACGCACCGCGTCGACACCGCGACTACCGCTCCGGGTGGTTGCAAAGCCGCTCGTGATTGTTGTGTTGATCAACAATCATCCAGTCCGTGCGCTCGTCGACTCGGGCTCCCTTGGGGACTTGATATCCACGACTGTAGCGGATCAGCTAAAATTGAAAAGAACCGAACTTACTGACCCCATTACTCTACAGCTTGCCGTTCAGGGTTCCCGGTCTAAGATCAATCATTCTGTTGATGCTGACTTTTCTTATCAGGACATACGCACCCGTCGAAGTTTCTTCGTCGCAAATCTGAGCGGATATGACATGATACTCGGAACGTCATGGATGTTCCAGCACAAGGTGACTATTGGTTTCAACCCTGCTCGCGTCTGTGTTGGAAGCGCTGACGCCTTACCTCTAGATGGAGTAGCCACCGCTAAGATTTACGCCAGCATGACTGCCATTAAACGGGAAACGCTCCAAGCCGCGCGCGAGGAGTTGTTGGATTATGCCAAACCTATCTGTAAAGTTGCATCAGAAACATCGCTGCCGCCCCTTCGGGCAATAAACCATACCATACCTTTGATTGATGAGGCCAAGGTACTCCCTTGGCGGCCGTCGCGCTGTCCCGAGGCGCTCAGAGGTCAGTGGGATGAGAAGCGGAGGGCGTACCTCAGTACCGGCCGTTGGAAGATCACCAACTCCGGCAATACGGCCCCGATGCTCTTAATCCCGAAGGCGAAATCGAATCCGCCGCGGTTACGCGTTGTCGTTGACTTGCGCGCGCGAAATGCCAACACGAAGAAGATGACATCACCTTTTCCGGACATGGATGGCATCTTGCGGCGCGTGTCACGCTGCAAATTTCGGTCGTTAATTGACGGACAGGATGCATATGAGCAAATTCGGGTCGTACCTGAGCACGTGGAGCGCACCGCTGTGAGTACGCCTGACGGAAACATGGTGAGCCTTGTTCTCCAACAAGGTGACTGTAATGCACCAGCGACGTACCAATCATTGATGAATTACCTGTTTTCGGACTTTATCGGTCGGTTCATGGACGTTTATCTGGATGATATCATCATCTATTCGAATACACTCGATGAGCACATCGAGCATGTGAAGAAAGTGATAGACGTACTTAAACGCGAAGTCGCTCTATTTGAGCGCCAATAAATTGCAGCTTTTGAAGCCAGAACTCAAAGTTCTGGGTCGAATAGTCGACGACGAGGGCATCCGAATGGATCCTGATAAGGTTGACTCAGTGGTTAACTGGAAAACTCCAACGAACCGCGACTTACTCCGGGGTTTCCTAGGCTCTGTGGGCTACCTCGCGGATGATCTGGCGCGAGTGCGAATTCCGATGGGAGTTCTGCATGGTTTGACCGGTGATTCAGTCGCTTTTCGTTGGGGTTATACGCACCAGCGAGCGTTTGAAGACATCAAACGAATCGTACAAGAAGGCCGCGAGCATCGGCGTAAGCCTCTGGTATACGAGGAGGGCGCGCCACCAGTCTTTCTGGTGACGGACGGGTGCTCGACAGGTATTGCCGGTGTTGTTTGCCAGGGAGACGACTGGAAAACTGGGAAAGTGGCCGCCTTCTTCTCTGCGAAGCTGAATTCTGCACAGCAGAACTATCCAGTTCACGAGATTGAGATGCTTGCGGGTGTCGAATCGATGCTACGCCATCGCGACATCCTACAAGGTTGTCATTTTACTTGGATAACTGACCATCGGGGCCTTACGCACCTTGTAAACCAGAAGAATTTGTCGGGAAGGCAAGCCCGATGGGTGGAGAAGATATCTTCATTTGACTTTGAGGTCAAGTATGTTCCTGGAACGGAGAACGTGTTAGCGGACGCTTTATCGCGGATCTACTCGAACGAGGCGCCCGGAACCGTTCGCGCGCGAAGTGAATACACTTACCATGATATTCTGACCAACGACGCGCTCGAAATCAACGAGATTTCGATGCCAGTGTTCGCTGGACGTGAAGCGGTCGCGTTGAGCACGGATCGCGTCACCCGGTCGATGGCTAGGGCTGCCAGAGAAGCTGCTAGCCTTAACTCTCAGCCGGGACCCTCAACCGGTGAAAAACACATACCTGTGGCTAAAACGCGCCAGAACAAGTCCAAGTTTGACACCAAACCCCCAGTGATGTCAAAGGAGGGCGGGAGTACACCAAATGAGCCATCTGCGCTCGACGCGCTGGCACGAGACGACGGTGGGAAGCAAAACGCGGTACCGGAGCCGACCTCCGATCAACCGAATCCAAATTCGGACGTGACTCAGCCCCCATCACGCACTGCTTCGCTGGCAACGGACAATGACGAGGGCGACTCTGCGCCGCCAGAACTCACTCTAGAACTTGAAAGACTCGACGAATCCTTGCTAGAAGTCGTCAACAGTGGCTGGAGAGGCCTTGACATCGCCAAATATGTTGCTCACCGCTATGGGCAAGACCCATTCTACAAGCAGATCTTGGACACCCCTGACGCTTTCCGCAACTTCCAAGTGGAAGATGGGCTTGTTTTCCTCAAGGAACACGACCGCCGGGTGCTCTGTATCCCCAAAATCGTCTATCGCGGTCACAATCTAAGCGAAATTGTGATCTCCGAGGCTCATTCTGTTCTCGCGCATCTCGGAACGAAGAAGACACTCGACTACCTCCGCGACCACGTATGGTGGAAGGATATGGTGGAGGACACGCGCAGCTACTGCGAGACATGCGCCACCTGCAAGCGAAGTAAGCCGAGTAATCAGAAACCATATGGTTTGCTCCATTCGCTCACTCCCCCGTTGCAGCCTTGGGAGTCCGTGGGCATGGACTTTGTCGGGCCGCTGCCTGAATCAAAAAATCGGGATGGTACGTTCAACTCGATCACTGTGGTGATAGATCTTCTCACCGGTATGGTTCACCTGATACCTAGCCGAATTAATTACACGGCGCGACAACTCGCGGAGCTCATGTTTGAGAATATCTACAAGCTACATGGACTACCCAAAACCATAGTGAGTGACCGGGACGTGCTCTTTACGAGTATATTCTGGAAGAGACTTCATGAACTTATTGGCACTCGACTGAATATGTCTAGTGCTTATCACCCCGAGTCCGATGGCGGAACCGAACGCGCTAACCGGACGGTTACTCAAATGCTTAGACAAAGCATTGGACCCAAGCAGAGGGACTGGGTTGCCAAGCTCCCCGCCATTGAATTTGCAATGAATTGTGCACGCTCAGAGAGCACGGGGTATGCTCCGTTCTTCCTCAACAATGGCAGGATGCCTAGAGCGCTGATCTGGAACTCAGCGCGCTCGGGTGAGTACCCGGGCATTGCAAACTTCGCGCTACAGCGCCGACTTGCAATTATGGCTGCTCACGACAGCATGATTGCGGCTCGTGTCAAGCAGACGCGCTCTGCGAATCGCAAACGGCAGCCTGCACCGTTTGTCGATGGTGATCTCGTCTATCTATCGACGAAGAACATTAAGTTTGAAAAGGGCTTAGCTCGGAAACTTATCCCCAAATATATTGGTCCGTATCCTATTGTGCGGGACTTTGGAAATAATTCATTCCAGATTGCGCTACCGGACAATATGAAACAGCGGGGCGTTCATGATGTTTTCCACGCTTCGCTTCTGCGGGTACACCTGCCAAACGACGATCGCCGCTTCCCGGGCCGACTGGAGAACCAGTTGGGCATATCTACCAGCGACGCCACCAACGAATGGGCAGTCGACAAAATTGTCGGACACCATGGGCGACGTGCTGAAGCGATATTCGAGATATTGTGGAAGTCGGGAGACCGCACTTGGATGCCGTATGATCAAGCCGCCCATCTGTCAGCGCTCGCTGATTATTTGGAGGCGCTAGGCATAGCCGATGTCGGCCAGCTTCCCTACGGAACAGCTGGCCTGAACAAAGTAACTGGGGACAAAGCAAGCCTTGCAGTGGCTTGCGTCGCCCTCGATTTGCCAGTGGCCTGGAATCCGCGCACGTTAAAAGGGCTCGCAATGGAGCTTGGTTTCTCATCGACTCCCCCCGACTCAAACTTGCTGCGCTCTACCGATCGAACCATGACTGCTGCCGCTGTCGTTCCTCCTCGCTTCGCTGCCGCGGCCGATCCTTGCCGAATCATCCCACTTGCGGAAATTCCCGTCGAATACAGCGACTTCAACGCTGCTCATCGCGTGATCCGTCGACAAAGCCGTGACTCCTTCGTGGTCATCGACGGCGCTTCTGGAGCCGAATCCATCATGTCGGCAATGCAAGTCCGCCTCTATGTCCTCCAGAACATCTGGAACAACAACCCCGACAATGATGTCTGTCGCAACCCCGCGGGCTATCGCACTTTCGCGATCAACATGAACACCTACGACCATCACAACTCGGGTTGGTCTTACTTCGAGGACGGAGAAGAGGGTGGATACTTCTACTGGGTTGATGCAGAGGTTCCTACCCTCGCCGAGTTCATGGTACGCAGTTGTCTCCATGACAATCGCCATACTAATTGCACTGTTCAGGTCCGCGGCGTCGATGTCTTCCCGAATGTCGTGCCGCCAGGCAAGGTCCTTGTCGACAAAGCATGGGTTGAAGGTGTGATGGAGGAGGGCCGTCGCCGTGAGGTTGTTCGGCGCGAACGCATTGCGGAACGTGTCCAGAAACGCCAAGAGAAGGCATCGGGTGGAGCATTGTATGTCACCCCTGCGATGCGTCTTACCCTTCGCAGCCGCCAAGTGGAGGCTTCGCGTGCTTCGACTCCTGCAGTCACTGTCAACAACGATGAGACTAACGGTGAAATGCAAGGCTAGGTCCCCGGTCCGTGGACCTGGAGGGCGTATGTAACGGTTTGATCCGATTACTAATCTTGTGTCATTCACTCTATGTCATAACCATGTATTTTTCCGTGTCAATATATTCAACTTACTTTGTCTTATTGTTCTTCGGACTCAAACAGAGTCATTTGGTACTTTACTTTGTCTTTCCGTACTCTTATTAGATTCCCGTAGTTAGTATATAAGAGCTGTCAACTGTAGATCGATTCCTCGGTTAATCGAATACTTACGCCAGTCAGTTTCGTGCTACCGCCAAGACTTCGTGTGCCGGAACTAGCAACTACTGCTCTCCGTCACAACATGTCACGGATAAGACCCGGCCCGTCCGCTCCGGCGCTGGTGTCGGGCCATTGCGGGCCCGTAACACGCAGCACGTGACGACGGGGAACATGCGCCCCAGTAGGAGGAACGCACACGTGGGAAGCACGTGACCGAGAACGACGCGTCGAGCCGTCGCCGAGCCCAACTCGACACCAGGGGAATGGGGAGGAGTGCTAGGAGGTCAGGAGTAGCGCCTGGCCCGCAAGGGATGTGCGATCGTCCCCTCTGCGGCCAGGAACGGGAGCGAGGAGGAGGAGGAGAGGCCAGGGTGTCCGATCACCCCCTTTGCGGGCCCGCGTATATAATGCGCGATAGTGTACCCTGTACTCTATCGCTTAGATCGTCTGAAGAACTACCTTACTCCGTGCGAGGAGACGCTATCGACTCATCGGGCCCGACACGACCCGATTCGAACCTTCGACCACCGACTACGGCAAGGGACCGAGTTCACGGGCCCTTTCGGTTTCGATCTACCCCGCCCGCCATACTTGCGGGCCCGACTATCCGTCTGTTCTGTTCCGGGCGCGCGCTCTTAGGAGAAGTCCTCGCACGGCCCGACCCGCAGTCTGACAGCACACTTACCACTGATGTGAATGGAGGTCCGGTGCAGTGCAGCGTTCATTCGCAGAGAGACAATGGTGGTGGTGGTGGTATCGGACAAGATAGCCGTGGCGCCTCGTGGCATGCGCGTTGCATGTCTACTGTCTACTGCCGACAGAGAAGCTGATGGTAGAAGTTGCCCACCACGCTCCCCGCGAGCTCCGACGATCTTGTCGCCGAGCGTCGCCTTCCTGGCCGGCCCTCCGTGGCCCGCGCCGGCGCCCGCGGTGGTCGTGGTGCGTGTGCGTCGTCGCCGGGTGGGTCGTGGTGGTGTACCGGTCCGCGCCCGTGCCGGTGTCGTACGCGTCTCCGAGCTCGCTCGCCGGCGGGCCGAGGCCGGCGACGCCCGTCCTACAGCCCCTTATCTGTCTCACCTGCGCATGCTGTCTATGATGGACAGCTCCAATGACGATGGGTGGGATGACTACGCACGCGCCGCGCGCGCCGTGCACATTCCTCTGCTCCCGACCGCAGCGTTGAGCTGTTTCCGCTCCGCGCGCGCGACCAGCGAGCTCACCACGGGCACCGACAGCACAGCATGGCCCACATTGATTCCGCGGGCACGCCCGGGCCGGCCTTGCTTTGGTGCCGCGTTCTCCCACGATGTGTCGGCCCCTGCGAGTCCAAAGTCAAAGGTCGAACTTGGCCCGAACACGCACAAACTCAAACTAGGGACAGCGCGACGGACCGGCTAGTAGAGCAGGCACGGACTCGAAGGCGGGCAGCGCGCTGACGAGGAGGAGCGGGCGATGGTAGAGAAGACATCGTGGGAGAACCCGGATGCAAAACCCGAAACACGTCACGGTGCCGCTTATCAACGTCTTCTTCTCCACCGCCCCGACGGTCCCGACCCGCCCGCGCACACGGCCGCGTCCCCGCGCGGGGGACGGGGCACGGACGATGCCACTTACGGCGTTCCAAGCTTCGCCGCTCCCTCAACGGCAGGCCGGCGAAATTTCAAATCTACCCACAGCGCTAAATACTCACTCCAGAACCCGTGAAGCCACAAGTGGCTCTAGCCCGTCGACGGCGCTCATCACTGCGGCAAGCGGCTGCAAACAACGCAAGGTTCGCCCGCAATGCCGTCGCGGAACGTGACAGATGGTGAAGTCCGGCCGGAGCGCAGGCAGCGGGAGGCGCCAGCCGTCGTCCACTCCCGGGCCCCCGGCTCCATGGCCCTCAAAAGCTAGAAGTGTGTGATCAATCAATTACAAGGCATACATTTCGCCTGGGTCTACACATTGCTTATATGCTACAGGCGCTCCACGGCCAATTCAAGTTACAAGTCGTTCCTCGTCGAATCCTTCACGCCGTGCTACAAGTCAATCAGCCTCTCTCCGCCAACTTGAAGATCAAGACAGCCGACCCACCTGGCGCTCGACGCCCTTCTCCTTCATCCCGGGGTTGCCCACCACGCTCCCCGCGAGCTTCTCCGCGCCGCCGACGATCTTGTCGCCGAGCGTCGCCTTGCGCTCCGGCTGGCGCTCGCCGTGGCCCGCCCCCGCGCCGGCGGGGTGGTCGTGGTGCATGGGGTCGGTCGTGGTGGTGTACCGGTCCGCGCCCGCGCCGGTGCCGTACGCGTCCCCGAGCTCCCCGACCGGCGGGCCGAGGCCGGCGACGCCGGTGCCCACGGGCTGCGTGCGGCCGTCGTGGTGGTGGTGGGCGTGTGTGGGATGGGTGCGCGGGTCGGCGCCGCTGCCCGCGTCGGTCGCGCTGCCGAGACCGGGCCCGCTGTTGGCGTCGGTCGCGGAGGTGCCGAAGCCCGCGCCGCCGCCCGTCTGCGAGACGCCGTAGTCGTTGAACTGGCTGGTGCCGTGGCCGCCGACTGTGGCGCGTGACTAAATGGGAAAGGGGAGGGAGGGGAACGGACCTTGTGTGCGCTCGCCCGCGCGGTCGAGCCCGGCCTGTTGGCCGTAGAGGTCGGTGTTGGTGTATGGGGAGGTCATAATCGTAGAGTTGTTGGGTGTGTGGTTTGGTGAGAAGTGGGTAGAAAGTGAGGAGACTGGGTGGTTGCGCGGAGCTTTATATGGCGGGGTATTGGGAGGAGGGAAGGGATGACGGGTCGATGACGGGGTGGAGTGTCGATGGCGTCCGGTGCCAACGTTGGAGCGGCGCCAGAAGGGTTCGATGGTTACATATGCGTCTGAAGCGGCTCGCGGGCCGGCCCGGGACGCGTATGGGCTTGTGGGGGGAAGGCCCAGCCTGGCACACGCTTAGCAGCGGCGAACGTGCGCGTTCCAGTTTTCAACGGGGCTTGGCCATACCGGTTTGTTGACAAGAGATCACCGCATCACGTGCCAAGCTTGGCTCTCGCCCGCTCCACACGCGCCGGGGCCACGTCATACTGCGCTCATCCCTCATCCTGCGTCTTTGCCCAGACGCGACGACGTCAGTGGCGCGGGGATACGTAAAAGCCCGCGTCCTGCGATAACTTCTTCATTTGGCCTCTATCATGTCCGACGAGGTGTGTCCCCATGCCGGCCAGCCACCGGTACGCGGCTGACAAGCTGCAGATCCAAACCGTCCCCCGAACCACCAACTCCGACGCGCACCCGCCCCAGCCCGCGCGGCACGTCGTCCTCCCTCCCCGCGATCAGGCGGGGCCCAGCACCGGGCACCCGCCCGTACGCCTCCCTCCTCCCCTCATATCTGCTCATATCCATGTCTTGTAGGCCCAGACAAATCCACCACACCCCACGCCCGGCCCGGGCCCGCCGGCGCTGCAGCGCACCAACGAGGCGCCGGCCGGGGACGCCGCCGCGCTCACCGGCGACGCGCACGGCCACGGCACGGGCCACGCGCGGCGCAGCTCGCTCGACGCCGTGGCCGGCAAGCTGCAGCACGCGCTCGGGAGTGTGCTCGGGAGCGACGCGCTCAAGGCCAAGGGCGCCGAGAAGCAGTGCGTGGTCTCTTCGATGTGAATATTTGAATGTTGTTGTGGCTGACGGTGTGATAGGGCACATACGGAGACCGGCCCCGTGGAGGGCGAGACGAAGGGCGCGCAGGCGGAGGCGAAGGCGAATGTGGATGAGCGGCTGCTTGTATAATTGTACGATGTGTTTGTTATATACAAGCTTGACATCCTCCCAGAGGTTGATAGTCTGCCAGTGAAAGGATTCTAGCCAACAGGTGGCAATTAGCCTTAGCACTGTGAGCAAGAAGACCACTTACAGTACAGGAATACTACAAGGACAAGAATAAAAGTAATTGGGCAATGGTGGGGTCGGAGTGTCTGAGGGGGCGCCAACAAGATATGCCTCGGATGGTCCAAAGGAGGCCAAAGAGGGGGTAATGCTGATGTTCAAGTTGCCAGAATAATATGTTATGATCTATTAATATAATTGTAATAATAATAATAATAATAATAATATGGCATGATAATAAATCATAATATAATAATGGCCAGCACTACCGGTGATGCCCACACTACTGACATCCAAACAGTCTCCACCAGCATTCGCAGTCAGGCTCCAGCTATGCACAGGTTCAACCCTATGCATGTACAGTTTGTGCAGATCAATGTGGTTTTTTCTATATCAATAAAATTTTTTATGCAGGTAGCCACACCAGGTATATTATTGTATACAAGAGGTTCTGTGTTTTTTATCAATGTAGGCAGATTTGTGATAATCTGTGAGATTCTCTGATGATTGTATTGTCATAGCACAAAATTTCCTTTTTGACCATTTGTCATACTGATCACTCTATACTACGGTTATCATAATGGCTTGATCGCTGTGACATATGTGACTACCAGTCACTCTTTAGCTACCTACTCAGAAAATTTCTTTTTTGGATGAATATTATGTACATCACACAGTGTGACAAATGTGACAAATGTGCAATTTTGTCACACTTAGACTTAGACTCAGATACCAGAAGAGTTATAGCAGCTATAGCAGCATAGGATAGGACCTAGTACCGTAGAGAGAAACTCAGAGCCTATGCTGCAGCAAGATATTTGAGGATTATTGCAGCATAGGCTTTTGCATATCATTTAGTTCCTGTGCCTCAGCATACCTGCCGAGTTGATGGTATGTTGATGCAAGGTTGCCTCTAGCCCTGATTGTATCTGGATGGTTAGGCCCTAGTTGGAGAATACGCTGTTCAAGAACCTGTTCTTCTATTTCCTGTGCCTCAGTATACCTGCCGAGTTGATAGTATGTTAATGCAAGGTTGCCTCTGGCCATAATTGTATCTGGATGGTTAGGCCCCAGCTGGACAATGCGCTGTTCAAGAACCTGTTCTTGTATTTCCTGTGCCTCAGCATACCTGCCGAGTCGATGGTATGTTGATGCAAGGTTGCCTCTGGCCCTGATTGTCTCTGGATGGTTAGGCCCCAGTTGCACAATGTGCTGTTCAAGAACCTGTTCTTGTATTTCCTGTGCCTCAGCATACCTGCCAAGTTGATGGTATGTTGATGCAAGGTTGCCTCTGGCCCTGAGTGTCTCTGGATGGTTAGGCCCCAGCTGGACAATGTGCTGTTCAAGAACCTGTTCTTGTATTTCCCGTGCCTCAGCATACCTGCCGAGTTGATGGTATGTTAATGCAAGCTTGGTTCTGGCCCTGATTGTATCTGGATGGTTAGGCCCCAGATGGGCAATGCGCTGTTCAAGAACGTGTTCTTCTATTTCCTGTGCCTCAGCATACCTGCCGAGTTGATAGTATGTTAATGCAAGGTTGCCTCTGGCCATAATTGTATCTGGATGGTTAGGCCCCAGCTGGACAATGCGCTGTTCAAGAACCTGTTCTTTCATTTCCTGTGCCTCAGCATACCTGCCAAGTCGATGGTATGTTGATGCAAGGTTGCCTCTGGCCCTGATTGTCTCTGGATGGTTGGGCCCCAGCTGAACAATGTCCTGTGCAAGAACCTGTTCTTTCATTTCCTGTGCCTCAGCATACTTGTCAAGTCTATGGTATGTTGAGGCAAGGTTGCCTCTGGCCCTTATTGTCTCTGGATGATTAGGCCCTAGATGGACAATATGCTGTGCAAGAACCTGTTCTTGTATTTCCTGTGCCTCAGCATACCTGCAGAGTCGATGGTATGTTAATGCAAGGTTGGCTCTGGCCCTAATTGTCTCTGGATGGTTAGGCCCTAGATGGGCAATGTGCTGTGCAAGAACCTGTTCTTGTATTTCTTGTGCCTCAGTATACCTGCAGAGTCGATGGTATGTTGATCCAAGGTTGCCTCTGGCCCTGATTGTGTCTGGATGGTTAGGCCCTAGATGGACAATGCGCTCTTCAAGAACCTCTTCTTCTATTTCCTGTGCCTCAGCATACCTGCCAAGTTTATGGTATGTTGATGCAAGGTTTTCTCTAGCCCTGATTGTATCTGCATGGTTAGGCCCTAGTTGGAGAATGCACTGTTCAAGAACCTGTTCTTCTATTCCCTGTGCCTCAGCATACCTGCCAAGTCCATAGTATGCTGATGCAAGGTTTGCTCTTGCTGTAATAATGTCTGGATGGTTTGGCTCCTCATGCAGGTTTTCCTGTTTCTTTAAAATCATCTCCAACAGAACTGCTGCATTACTAAAGAAGCCAGCATTGTAGTATATAGTAGAACATGGAATTTGCAAAGGCCATGGCACTTGCTCCGGCATCCTGATTGCTGTTTTCAAATGTTGTGCAAGCCCCACCATTTCATAATGCACAATAGTCTTTGTAGCTGACATCCCTAATAAACTGATTACCATACTCTCATAGATCCCTGGCTCTGACAGTGTCAGCTTGGTCCACTGATGCACCAATGGGTGAACATAATAACCATCTGGCCTCCAGACAATCAATGAATATGCTTCTATATGTTGCACAGTTTCTTCAAACAGAAACTTATCCCAACTTTGTTCTTCATCTGAAAAATTGGATAAAAGCTGTATTGCCTGGCCCAATGGCTGAGGAATCTGTCCAGGCACTTCTAAGTCCTTCCATTCGGCCTCTTTCCATCTGTATTTAAATGCATTTTTGAAAATGGCCTCAGTGATTTGACTGTTATGCATAAAAGAACATGCTTGCATGAACTGCTGTGCAGGCAATGGTAGATTTTCAAAGCTGATCCTCCAAGTAGTATATACTGTATCTTTGTACTGCCAAGCCACTTGCTTTGGAATTTTCTGCCAGTATTTTGCCTTGTTCTTGTTATAAATCTCCAGGTACTCCAATGGGTTTTGCTTCAGATTAAGAGATTGTGATATAAAAGCAGCAGCTTGGGCCAGTGCCAATGGGAAACAATGCAGCTCCTGCATAAAATGAAATGAACATTGTATATCCTACGCTTATGAAAAATCCTCTGACCTTTGCAAGTTTGGCTACTATTTCTCTATCACTAATATGTGCAATGCCACATATTACATCACATGCTTCATCCAGGGACATGTCAGACACATTCATAGATTTTTGGTTTGTGTGCACACCCAGTTCTGGGTTTCGAGATGTGATCAGAACATTGCCATGATTACACTGTGGAAGGTGTGCCTGGAGATTAAGCTCCACATTATCTGCATTATCAAACAGAATGAGCCATTCAGTAGTGGTTGCAGTAAGCCATGTTTGTGCAGCTACTGTCGACATTTCTTGATGTTTAATCCTAGCAATTTCCTTGTATCCTGCTTCAATAGTATTTGCATTGCTTGCATCAATCTTAAACTGGTTTGTAAACCTAAGAGATCTAAGTGTGTGTATATGTCCATGACATTAAATAATACCTTGAGCCAGATTCTGCAATGAATTTGAGTGCACTTTGAGTCTTCCCTATTCCACCCAAACCATGTAGAAGCACAATCTTCGGACTTTGAAGGCTGGTCTCTCCAAAGAAATCTCCCAGTTGAGCAAGAATATCTTGCCGACCTGTGAAGCTATCCACAGGACGGGGACATCCATGATATGGTTCTGCCAGACATGCAGTTCAGCTATATTATAGAAGAGTGGACTCACTGTCTTGATCCGGGCCTCTGCCTTAATCAGCTCATGTTCCCCGGGGCTTATCCTCACTCACCTGGGTAGGGGTCCATAGTAATTATTATTGAAACTTCCAGTAATGGCTGTTCCCCCTCCAGTTCCACCCCTTCCACCTTGTTCTGTACCCTCCCCACCTCCTCCTCCACGACCACCTAAATCGGTCAATATTCCATATCATTCATGAGCAACTTAGAGAAAGTGTACACACCACTAATATTGAAGACCAACTTTTGTTGCAAGCCCTCAGCTATAGCGTCCATCGGCAGGGAGGGAAAGACACAGATGCACCAGCGGGTGGTGGTGGTATGTGGACAAGAAGCGCCGTCGTGCCTCATGCGCATCGCCTTCGCAGGCTGTTCATGATTGACAGCCGAAAATGATAAATGATAAGACGGTTGCGATGATGAATGATAAGACCAAGAATACCCAGCTTGAAAAAGTCGCCGCGGCAATGCACAAGCCTGTTGATTTGTTCCCGTCCTACCGCATACATTCTGCAATACAATCTGATCGCACCTTCGACCTCTACACCGCCGACGGTGGACGCCGGCGCTTCACGCATCGCATCACCCGCCTTGGCGCCGCGTTGCCCCACAACATGTCGGCCCTGGGATCTCGAATTCCAAGCATACCACTGGCAGTGATGTGTATTCTTTACCCCGGCGGGCACGATGGCGCGGCTCTGGGCTTTTGCGCATGCATCGGGCGGATTCGGGCCGGCGGATTCGGCCGGGGCCACATCCGTTGGCGCGAGAGTACACGCAGCGGCGGCTATCGGACAGAGTAAGTATCAGTCTCGCTCGGGCCGCTCCATGGGAGGAATAACGACGTGCAACTACTTATTTCAAGTTATCCTAACATTCCTAGACGACCGTGATTTCTGTTGGTCTATCTTCACAATACATTTATTTTATTATAATTTAGTTTAGTTTCGTTTGTGGTTGAGGCAACAAATGGCCGACGACGAAAAATACAAGGGTCGGGAGTTCCCAACATCTAATGTTCAATCGGGCAGGCAGGCCAGCAACAGGAAGAACAAGACAGAAAAGCTCGATTGCAAATGCAACATTCGGTATCCCCACTCCCTCCCAGT